GTATGCCCCTGGCTATTCCCAGGCCCTCCCAGTGGACAGACCCAGGGATTATTTACAACTAGGTCAATTTTTATCTGTTTATATACTGAAAATTGTGAATCAACATCGATCTCTCCAATTCCAACCCAACCCCATGGGCTCACTCTACTTTTTTCCCTCTCCATGTTTGCAACTCCCTTCCCTGACCATGAGAAAACTGGCTACGATTATCTTTAATATATTCACTTATTTAATGAATCTTTTTAGATACAACTAATCTTCTATTTCTGCTGCCATCCCCTTCACCCCTGATTCCCTCCTTCTCCTCTTTGGGTTCTGGCACTCTATAATTCTGCACTCAAATTTCAGTAAGGGGGCGTTTCCACACACATCAAAACAATTCTCAGACACCAGCCGGGTGTCCTACAACTCAACCCAATTCTGACACTGTCTACCTGGAGATAGCATCAGATCCCACAGGTTAAGGGCTCAGTCCTATAAGACTGCCCCCCTTCCTCAAATGCCAGTCACAAAGTCCAAGTTGTCAACAACCTGGACTCAAGAGAAACATTTTACTTACTAGATCCCCAGTTTATTATAAAAGGATATAACTAAGGAACAGCCAGAAGGAAGAGATGCATAGGGCAAGGTATGGGGGAAAGGCATGGAGCTTCCAAGCCCTCTCTCAGCAAGCCACTCTCCATGAATCTCCACGTGTTCACCAACCCGGTAGCTCTTTGAACCCCATTGTTTTGGGTTTTTATGGAGGATTCATTACATAGGCATGATTGATTAAATCATTGGCCCTTGGCAATCGATTCAACCTCCAGCCCCTCTCCCCTCCGCAGAGGTGAGGGTGTCGGACTGAAAGGTCCCACTCTCTAATAGCATTGGTTGGTTCTCCTGGGAACCAGCCCTCATCCTTGTCCAAAAATCACTTGTAAAATAACAGGAGACACTTTTAACACTCTCATCACTTAGGAAAGTCCAAGGGTTTTAGGAGCTTTGTGCCAGAAACGAGGATGAAGACCAAATATATATTTCTTTTTAGAAATCATGCTATCACACACCCCATGTCAGGCCACCCTCCTCACTGCACAGACTCCACTATCTCATGCTACTGCCCGGCAGGGTCTCCCTCCTCACCCTCGTGCATCTCTGACTTTCTGTGTGGGGCCACATCAAGCACAGATGCCTTCTTCACCCACTGGGGCTCTGATTCTCCACACTCGGCTGCCTGTCTTTCTCTCCCCTGAGCCACGGAAACCCTGCAGTCTTTGCTCTCGCTCTGACATCCTACCGCAGGCGACCGCTCTTCCTCCAGCCTGGGCTCTGACAAACCGTGCTGGGAAAGATGCTCCCCTCATCATACTCGGGTGCTGACATTCTGTGTTGGGGTGCATGCACACACTCTTATGCCATCAGGGATATGCCTTCTGATTTTTCACGTTCTCTTCCCCAGTCTGGACACCTTTGTCACCCTGCTTGGGCTCTAACTGCCCACACTAAGTGTCCCTCCTACTTGGATACCCTTCTTCTCTTGTTCAGGCTCCAACGCCCCTCTCTGGGGTCTGTAACGACCCTCCATACAGATACCACTTACAGCGCTATGCTCCACCTAATGGCTTTAGGACTGGAAGGGAGAGGAAGACAAGGGGAGGGGAAGAACGGAAAGAAACATCCGTCTCGTAGATTTGCTCATTAGTCCTTCCACAGGGAAATGAATGACGAGAAAGTTTAAAAGAGGCCAACTTATTTCTTATTTACAATAGTCAAAAGATTTGGACTGAGAAAAATTTGAAGTTATTAGAAAAAGTAAGATTTGATGTTAAATGTCCCTTCCATCGGAAAATTGAACTTTTATCTCTCTTCTTGGTGTTTCATGTTTTGTTCTGAGAGAAAACTTCTAAACTGAACATTTAGAAATAAAAAGGCTGGGCCGGCCCCGTGGCTTGGCGGTTAAGTGCGTGCGCTCCGCTGCTGGTGGCCCGGGTTCGGATCCCGGGCGTGCACCGAGGCACCGCTTCTCCGGCCATGCTGAGGCCGAGTCCCACATACAGCAACTAGAAGGATGTGCAGCTACGACATACAACTATATACTGGGGCTTTGGGGGGAAAAAATCAATAAATAAAATCTTTAAAAAAAAAAAAAAGAAATAAAAAGGCTGCAATGGATACTTGTTCTTCTATCCCAATTTCCTTGTTTCCTAGATGAGGGAATTGAATCCTGGTCAGGTCAAATGACTTTTCCAGGTTTCCCAGGTGACATAGTCAGAAAGCCAAAGGACTTCTTTCAACATCCTGGCCAATGTTTTTGGCATGCTCCCTTCATTATTATCATTTAAAATTATTTGACTTTTAAGGCAAATTTCCAAAAAAAATTATAGCTTGTGCATTACACCTTATGTTTTAAATTGGAAGTCCTTTCCTTCAGTAATGACATTGCCGATAGAATGCCATATTTTGGGCCCTAAAACATTATCTGAGTAGTACTTTGGTGATTATATTTCATTAGGGTAGATGGTCTAGAAATTAACCTTACCAATTTGGTAGTTAGTAACTTGTAATTTTCTGAATACTCTCTCTTAATTGCATGGTTACATTACATTAACTGTATTTGGTAAAGTTGCCAAGCAGGTTATTATTTATTTTACTGTTTATTGTTACGAGGGGTTGACGGGCTGCCAAAAGGTATGCGTATAGAAATGAAAGAATGATAAGTAAAATTTAACTTCAAAATATCCATAATATAAAATTTGTATTATTTAAAACTCATTTACTTTTGTGGAAAATCCAACATCTTATCAGCGTTGCAGTTCAAGTTGGGAACGAACAACTTGTTGGGTGTAGATAAACCATCTACAGTGTTCATTAATTTCCAAGGATCACCTTGAGTCACTGAGATCAAAAGGAAAAACAGGCAACAAACTGCATTTAAGAATCCAATAGAAACCTTGAAGAGTCCCACCAGCTGTGTGATTTAAGAGTTTAACTGTGATATGAACTTACTTCTGGCCCTTGGGTGAGATATTTGCCCTTTTTGCACCAATGTAATTCTGTAAATTAATATTAACAAATATACAGATTTTATAATTGGAAGGGACACACCATCAAGATCATTTTGTTGATCTCCCTCCAAGGCAGGAACCCTCCTGCCACATACCGTGCATTTGAATCACTGTCAATCATGAGGAAATTACTACTTCACAAAGCAGTTGTGCCTTGTATTCTGCAGAAACCTTCTTCTTGGTTACTTTGCCCTGTTACTGCTGCCTTCTGCCCTCTGTAGTTAGAATACAGTTAAACCGGCTAGATAGGTCAGCCCTTCGGTTATGTCTGCCTAGATCCTCATTCTTCTGGAATTTTCTCTCCCTGTCTCTTTCTTCCAGGTTATATCTAAGTTTCTCATGCGAGAAGAGATTCTTTCCCCTTCCCCATCTCTCTGCCCTTGTCTGGACTTAGAGACTCTTAAAACGTGCTGTTTTAGGAGCCTGTACACGCTCCCCATGAAAGGAAAAAAACACTGAATTCTCCTGAGCCACGTAACAGTGAATCATGTTTTCACTTTACTTCTGGACAGTTATATCCAGACAGAACTTTTGCCCCCAAACACCGCATTCACTGTGCACAGCTTGTTGACCTTACACCTGAGCCAGCTTTTCTTGAACCCTCATCTGAACAAACATTCATTCTAATCTGCGGATATCCCGTGTGGCGTCAGGAAGGGCCCGCTTGGGCAGTGCTGGCTTAGTTGGGCCCGCCACCACGCTACAGGTTTGGTTTCCTTTTTCTCCTCTGAGTTTAAGAAGTAAGACAAAAAAGCAATTCCTGCTAATCTCTTAGACAATGCCAGGGGCTCCAGACTCTATTCCAGGAAGCTGGTTTCATCAAGGTAACAAAGACACCGCGGAGACCAGAAAGGAGGTTAGGGACACCGACACGGAGGTGGCATTCAGGTAACCCCCGGGGTGAGGTGGGGAGCCGGCTCGGCCGAGGCTGCGAGCGCGCCACGCAGGCGAAGGGGAGAGGCCGGCGGCTCTGCGCCCCGGCGTGGACGCACGCGGGAGCTCATGCTGGGGGAGTGTGCCACCACGTGCCGCGGAGGCGGGGACACGGCCCTCCTCCCTTATCTGTAAAGGGCGCAGGGCCGGATCTCGGAGTTTCACAGCGGACTTGCCAGAGGTAGTGTTGAGACAGAGACAGGGACTCACGTGGACACACAGGGACGCAGGGAGACAGAAACAGGCAGACAGGCGAGGTGAGAGGTCAGCAGGCTAGCGAGTCCTTCCTACTAGTTGCCAGGCGCAGAGAAGAGACCTGGGTGGGAGAGGGAGGGTCCCTTTAGACGCTCAAAGCCCACGACTCCGAAGGGGCCACTTCCTGTAGCCCCTTGGGGACTGCCGGTCTCGGCCCTTCTAAGTCCGCTCTGAGGAGATTAAGAGAAAGACAGGAAGAGGAGGTGGGCTTCTACAGCGAGTGTGGTTTGAGTTCTTCCTAAGCGGTGGCGTGCCTGAGGCTTTATACCCGGGAGGAGCGTGTGTCACCACTGTACGCAAATCCTGGGACGTTTGCAAACCAGCTCCGGGGCAGTTGGCCCAATGCCCGGCCGGGCGTTCGAGGGCTCCGGCCACGCAGTGCTCCCGGGGCCGGCCGGCGGGTGGCCCGGTGGCCTTTATCTCTGTCCCCATTTGTCCTCTTTATCTCAGGCTCTCCAGGAGGCCCAGGGGCGCGCGCTGCCTCGAGCGGCCCCCCAGGGTGCACCGCCATTTCAATGCCCCGCAGGTCGCGGGCTGCTGCTCTTTCGAAGGCGGCGGAGGACCACGGGCGCCGGGTGCCCGCGCTGACTGGGACCCGCGCCCACGCCTGAGCTGCGCGCCCTTGGGCGCCGAC